TCTGATTTAACACCAAATAAGTTGCTCCTGTATCCACTAAAATTCCTCTTTATTTTTTTTAGTCCCTAGTTTTAATGTAACCAGTGGATCTGCTAGGGTAGATTCGCCAGGTCCCTGTCAGCCTAGTTCCAGTTTAGTCACTGGAGCCACCCCATGGCACTGCCCCCCCCAGCGTCCAAACTTCCCATAGCACACACACTGATCCTGTCCCACGGAAGAGGAGCCCACTCCCCCATCTCCCCCCGACATCCCTCCTCCCACGCTCTAACACAGGAGCTGCTCAAGCTCCCCTCCTTTCCCCCTTGGTTTTCCCTTTTTTTTTTTTCTCACAGTTGCTTCACCCTGCTTTCCAGGGGCTGCAGATGCCTGCCTCTGCAACAGCGCTTCTGGTTTAACCCCTTCTTAACTCTGAATGTGAATGTGCTGCTTGTTGCCAGTGACAGCAATTTCTTCCTCCTTATCAATATCAGATAGGACAGATGCAGAGGGTGATCCTTTCTGTATGTGATACATAATTTTCCACCCTATCTTCCTGATTACTTTTTTTTTTAACTTTAAACATCTTTCCCCAATATCACAGGCTGAACAACATCTCCAGCTTAACTTTCAGTTTTTCCCTGTCCTTTTCCAAAGCCAAAATTAAGGAATCTGGCGGAGCTATATTAATTTTGCATTCAGTCTGTCACTCCGCGTGATTTGTTAAAGTGAAAAACATATCTGCGTACATTACTTCATCCCATTTTCTTTGCCCCCTCAAACAACATTAATTGTAACAATGTATTACACTTCGGAGTTCCATTTTTAGGCCATTTTTCCTGATCTTCCAAAGTATACAAAGGCCACCATTGGTTACAATATTTTACCAATGTTTTCTCATTTACTGAGCCCCAGGGGGACCCTCCAAGTTCTTTCCAGTGTCCCAAAATGCACACTAAATGACTCTTTTTCAAGATCTCTTCACTCTGCTGATTTTCCATTATGAATCTCACATTCTAACACACACACACAAATGGGATCCCACAGACACACTCCACACAGTTACAACACTTGAGACAAAGAGACTTAAATTCAACCAAACAAACAACAGTTAATAACACAGTTATAACATCCTGTCACCAGTACCAGAATCGCAAGACCAAAATCATTACTGTAACAAGCCACAAAATAAGGGGAATACCAGTAGAATCAAAAGCAATACTTCCTAACCCCTATGGCTCAGACCATATTGTAACATTAATAGGGGGGTTTCCTTGAACCCTTTATCGTTAACCAGCCTGTCAGTGTCCCAAGGACGAGACCCTTGTGTCCAGCCAGCCTGTCTGCGTCCCACTGTGGGAACCATACTGGACAGCCCGCTGTATCAGAGGGTGATTCTACTAACCTATTCAGAGACCCACGCTGACAGCATCACTGAATCAAATCCCTTATGAGCTGTTGATAGCACACTGGACCCAAAACCATTTCCACAAGACAAACCCTGCGTCTTGCAGGACCCAAACCACAAGATGCCCCCTGCTTCTTGTGGGTGTATACCAGTAAATTCCAAAACTTTTTCTACAAGATGCCCACTGTGTCTTGCAGCACCCAAACCAGAAGAAACCCCCTGCTTCTTGTGGGTGTATACCAAACAGATGCTAGCAGCTGGGTATATGCCTTTACCCATGAGATTTCCTATCTCGATTTATGGAAGGCTTCTAAACCTTGCATACTCTTACCAAACCAGCACAATTACCAATTTAGTTTTCATGCAAGATGCCCCCTGCACCTTACAGACTATGCAAAAGAAAATAATACCTTTTATGAAGATGGTCCTTGTCTGCTCCTGCAGTGATCCGAATGAGTCGAGGGATCCCTCTGGGAAAAATTCCCGAGGGCCCTAGGGAGCCCTGTCCTCAGCGGGTCCTGTAGCCGAGCAGAGAGGGTCCCATCTGGGGTGCCAAATTGATTCGGAGAAAACTCCAGGAACAAACTTGCCAACAAAGTTTTCAAGCTGACAAGCAGGTATTCTTTATTGGGAAGCCGGGAGACACGGAGGATAGCTCCACCTAGCGTTTATCTCCCTAATTGCCACACAAGCCGTCCTTTTATAGCCACTGGGCATACATACATATTCGTGAGCCTACGTATGGATTACATCATTTTCCAGACAGTTCCCCGCGTGCGTACAGAATTGTGGTGGTGGTCTCTGAGGGTCGTTTACTTCTTCCAACAATCTTCATCACTTCTGGCAGCCTTTGAAGCACGTGCAGGAGGTGCTCATACCAGTTTAATTGGTTTGTTAGCACCAGAGACATAATAATCCTCCTATCCTCCTACTTATCAGTTAGTTTAACTGTAGCCCATCCTGGACACCTGCCATTCCCAGATACTCCTTATCCCTGTGTCCTATTCTTCCAGACTGTTTTTCTCTAAAACTGTCAACTATAACGATTTATCTTATGAGAATTCTCAGTATGTTCTCTAGCTGTACTCTATTTTTTTTTCCTATGTATCATGCACCTCAGTCATTTTCCATTGCTACTGTTACAAAGCCATCAAACTTAACATTACTTAAAACTAATTCTAAAGGTTTCTATATTCCATTTTGTGATTTTGTGCCCCTTTGTCTCAATAGCTGAACCCAGGACAGAGGCAAGAAGTAAAATAACTGCCTTGATAGAAGGTAGTTTAAAATGTGGGATTTTGCAGTATTTAACTTTTAATATGTGATTTGTAGTCTTTTTGGGAGGCTAGTTTATTCTGAAACCCTGAATCTTGTTTAGTTGATAAGGTCTGGGTTCAGAACAGTGGTTCATGATTGTGGCTTAGGCTCTGTGATAGAGAGAATCCCTTCAGTCTCAGATGGGTTGGGAAGTCTGGGTTGACTTTCTCAGGAACCATTTGATCCGTGTGAAAAGCTGGCTAGTGTGAGCTGGGTACTGTTAAGGAAGAGGTCCTAATCAGGTTCCCGGGAGAATTGCATTATCCAGGGTTGTGTTTATATCTGTGGTTTCATGTGTTTTGGCAACTGCTAAATATCTAAAAGTGGTGAGTAAGGCTATGACACAAGAGACCCACCCTGTGGTTATGGGAGATGGCAAATAATGGGTTTGTTTCCCATCTGGGGGGATATCTAATGTTTTCCAAATTCAGTAGACAGTTGATAGACCTTGAGTTGAAAGGGCAATGTAACGAAGCCATGAGAAACTCATAAACAATTGGGGAATGTTCCTCACGTGACTGTAAAATAATGCAGCATGTACATCCCTCAGTGTACAGAAGGGACAGTTTGTGGGGGGGGGCAGTCCCCTTTAGTGAGATAAACAGAAGCGTGCCTTTTGCAGTGGCTCTTCTGTTCATGAGTGAAGCTGTTCTTCTATTCACAGGACACCTTTACAAATGTAAGGGCCATCCTTTTGCCGTCCAAACAATATTATTTTATTCAACTCCTCTTTCAGCTTTTTGTCTGCTTAGGTTTTGCCCCAGGCATTCTGAACACATCAGTGGTGCTAACCTCGTAGCTTTCATGAGTCTTCTGAAGAATAAAGGGTAGAGCACTAAGCTCAGTGAACAACATAAAAGTTGTTACAACCCCACAGCTTGCCATGAGGACTTTTGGAATTGGCTCCAAAATGCACTGAGGCTCGGAGTTGGATGTGAATGGGAGGTGCCATCACAAAGTCTTTGAGTAGTCAGAGCCTTGTAAAATACTCTGTGTTAGACCCATCCTGCCTCTGAAGAGTGGTCTTGGGGAAGAGCCTCTTGGCCGCTGAGGTTGGTGAGCAGTATGTTGATAACCCTGGCATAGTCTCATAGTCTTCAGCCTTGGACTCAGCCATAATGCTGAACAACTCCCAGTTTTGTGTGGTTCTGCCATAGTCTGCTTGAGATTTTGAGGTCTTGGACATAAGTCCTGGTGTCTGGCAGCTGCTACCCTGTTTTCCTATCTTAACAGACTGAAGTGTGTCATTGTCATTTATAGAATCATAGAATCACAGACTGGTTTGGGTTGGAAAGGACCTTAAGATCATCTAGTTCCACCCCCCCTGCCATGGGCAGGAACGTCTCACAATAGACCATGTCATCCAAAGCTCTGCCCAACCTGGCCTTGAACACTGACAGGGATGGAGCAGTTATCACTTCTTTGGGCAACCTGTTCCAGTGCCTCACCACCCTCACAGTAAAGGACTTCTTCCTTATATCTTACCTGAACTTCCCCTGTTTAAGTTTAAACCCATCACTCCTTGTTATATTTATGCAGTCCCTGATGAAGAGTTTTTTGAGGGCTAGGAGACAGGGTCTTGCATCCCTCGAGTTCTAGTGTTTCATAGAGAGACTGCAGTGACTGCTACTACTGTTTATGTAACTGGCCCCTTTTATTCTCTTGCCCCTCTATTTTCCCCCACACTTACTCTTCTCCAAATCACCTCAGCCCATATGTAGTCCTGTGTGATCCAGTACTGCCTTTCCCCTGCACCCTGTTGTGTCCCATCCCCAGCCAGCAGCTCCCACATACCTCTTCATCTGAAACATGATCTGGAGAACTGCTTGTGGTGGGATTCACACCTGGATGCTGGAGCTGATGGCTCTCCTGGGAGATGCTTGTTCCTCAGAAGTCATTGCACCTGCCATTGCACCCCTCTGCTCTTCTGGGTTGTGCAGGTGGGACTTTGGGCTGATGGCTCCTCTGATTGGCCTGGGAGTAGCCTGGAAGTGCATTATTTGGTTCCCCTCCTGCCATCAGTTCTCTAAGCACCTTTGTGGGTGTGCAGAGGAGCTGTTTTCACATAACCTAACATAATTCTGTTTGCTTTTGCTTTCTGAAGGACCGATTGTTCTTTCTAATGTGAGGGTAATTGACTAATAGTCTGTGCCACCAGCTTCTCCTCAAAGGTCTCGGTTGCTGCCTTTCTCATTAGAGTTGACTCTTTTTGGATGAGGATTTGATGGTGCTTCTCTGTAGATGGATGGTTTCATTCTTGTTTAAGCTGAAGACTTACCTGATATAACTTTTCTTACAGAGGAGAATGCTGAACCAGATTTGGATGATAATGAAGATGAGGAGGAGACAGCAGTAGAAATTGAGGCTGAACCAGAAGTTGAGCAAGAGGCTTCTGCACCACCTCCTAGTAAGAAACGAAGAGGGAGACCACCAGGCAAAACTGCCACCCAACCAAAACAATCCCAACGTAAGTCACCAACTGAAGCCTATGTTACACTACTTGCTTGAGCTGCCTTTTCCTTGGATTTAGCAGTTCTTGTAGGAGAACTGCTTCCCAAGATGCTTATTTTAAAAGTAGGTAACTGTACTTGTCTCTGCTTTGCTAAGAACTCACCTTCCATGTGAAATCTGTTGCAAGGGTTTCCTGGTCATGAGGGATCATAGACACTATGTTAAAAGGAGAGGACTTCTTTTTTTTTTTTTTTATTTATTTTCCCGTTAGGAAAATAAGGACTAGACTACCTGTGGGCACTTCTGTAGGTATTACTCCAAACCAACATGTTTCAGGCCTGTAGTTCTAAGCACAGTGGCAGTGCAGATGTTGTTTCAACTCTGCAGAGTTTTTTCTGTAAAGCTAGACATCTGTAACTACAAAGCCTGAGTAAATGAATTCTAGGAACAAAGCAGGAAGGGCAAATTTGTTCCTTCGAGGGGTAATGGTTTCCCCAGTGGCTTGTTTGGCTGCTCAGTGCTTACTAAGTGTGGTCTGTGTCCTTCCTGGAATTACAGTTTATCCTGAATTCATCACTAGATTCCCCTGAATTTGAAGTTTTGCTTTATGCCCGTACATTGTTATGCTCTTGTTTGTTGATTACTCTATAAAATCCATTGTCTGAATAGTGCCTTAATATCAAAAAGCATACTGGAGCTGTTGTAGTGGTGGCACATCTTCATACAGGGGCAAGAAAAAAATAGACACTTGATGCTTGGATGAATGAGGTGGGTTGAATCACTGTCCGTTGATGTAGGAATGAGAGTTGTGGGCCTTTCCACAGAAGAGTCTTAACTTTCTACGAAGAAGTTTCCTGGTAAGGGTTGCAGGCCAGCTCTGAAAAACCTGTTGTTCCCCCCTTTGTGTTCTGCCCTTCTAGCTGCAGCAATCATTCAAGTTGAAGACCAGAACACTGGTGAAATTGAAAATATTATAGTTGAAGTAAAGAAAGAACCTGGTATGGAAACAGTAGAGGAAGAGGAGGAAGCTCAGCCTGCTGTAGTGGAAGCTCCCAATGGAGACATCACTCCTGAGATGATTCTCAGCATGATGGACCGGTGATGGAGGAAGACAACATTGCCTGACTGAACTGGCCTGGGCTGTGTTTAAGCGGCTCAAATCTAATTTTTCCTTTTTTTTTTTTTTTTTTTGGCTTTGGGAAATGCATAATTTTAGACCATTTTACCAAACATACTGGGAAATAAAAAGTTCAAAATAATGTTAGAATGTGATTTAACTAGAATTTGCTTTTTTTGGTTATCATTACAGGATCATGGAATGTTAGGAAATACTTTGGAGTCCTTGAGGGTTTCCTGTGAGATGATTGATTTCATTTTGTTCTGAACTGCATTGTAAATCTGGTCCAAAGGCTGTGGGTATATGCACCAAGTTTTAATACACAAAAGCAGATGCCTTGACTAGAGTATGTGGTAAACCACTCGGACTTGGGAGGGTTATAGACTTTTAAAATGTTTTTTGCTTTTCCCCAAGTCGGCTGAACATGGTAATTTTGGCATGCTCCAACTGGTTTCTGTCCTTACTGTGCTTTGCTTTCTGCAAAACATTTCTGTAATGGTCAAGCTTGTAAATAACTTTTTTTTTTTTTTTTTTTTTTTTTACATTTTAATCTTTTTCCTTGAAGAGGTATGCAAAAATGTAGTTTAAATAAACCCCAGTATTTTAATTCATTTCAAACTGACAAGAGAAATTGATAGGGTGTAAATGTTTGAAAAACTGTTGATAACCAGTTGTGTAGAAAAGAGATATACCCAGACTGTTGCTTGCAGATCAAGAAAAACCCCACACCTGAAATATGGTTTTGAAGCACACAAAAGTGGCATTTGGAACATGTATAATTAACCTTTTTGAGTTCTAATTTCATTACTATGTTTTCTTTGCTCTATCTTGTAGTTGTATTTTGTGTTTATGAATCCTGTGTTAAGGCAGAAGTGGTGATTTCTAAGTCGGTCACTGCAGCCCTCCAAACTTGGGCCAGGAAATTTTAATAGGTCAGTAATTCCACAATTTTGGATCTCTTGATAAAGACAAAATGGAATAATGTGAAATACAAATTATGCCTGTATATGAACCATCACATGTTAAAATCCGTAAGCTTTTTATAGAGCCTCAGTCTTGCTGATTTCAAACAAATTTTTCTTTTATGTATTGCTTTTAAGAGAGCTATCAGTTTAGCTATCAGACTCTAGGTTGATGCGTTTTTGTACTTAGCTGTACTGTGTGATATTTTTCATTATTTTAGGAAGCCAACATGGGGAATAAAAAATAGCTGTAAAATACATAATGGGGTTTGAAAGCTGGGAAGGAGAATATACTGCTGTACAGCTAATAAATAATGGATTAACATGTGTGCTCACTGTCTGCTTTCTTTGTGGCTCTTCAGGGTGACCAGCCCAGCCCCACCATCTTGCACCAGGCATCTGCAAGGGGAAACCATACCTGGTAGTGTTCAAGGCCAGGTTGGACAGGGCTTGGAGCAACTTGGTCTAGTGGAAGGTGTCCCTGCCCATGGGAAGCTTTAAGCTTCCTTCCAGCCCAAACCATTCTGTGGTCCTGAGAGATGGTCCTTAAATTCACCAATAAAAACTGCCTGAAGGTTGATGCCTGGGATCCTGGGCAGGATGGAGGCTTGTTTCAACAGGTGGGTGACGTAAATGTCAGGGCTGCTTCTGCAAGGAAGGATAAACCCTCACACACTTTCTCAGTTGGACAAGGACTTTGTGTACTCACAAGCTCAAAGATTTTTCAGACAGAGGCAGTGCTCTGGAGGATGTTATAAAAATTCCGTCTTGGCCATGATCTGATTTAATTATTTTTTTATTACAATTAATATTGAGAGGCAATAAGCAAGCAGCGCTGGGTGCTCCGGGGAGTCTCCGCTCCACCCAAGACACACACTGAGATTTCTGGGGTACAGTCTCTTATACTCCTCAGTCTTGGGTTTCAGCCAATCCTGTCATCTCCTTCACCCGAATATCGACGTGGTTCCTTTTCATTGTTCTCCTCCTGTTGCTGGAGACTTATCTTCGGGTGAAGAAATTTCTTAAAAAGTTATTGAATTCCTTGGTAATACATTAACAAGGGATGTCTATTGTCGGAGGAGCGACCCGAATCAAGAAGACAATCCCAATATGAGTTACGCTTCTTGTTCGATTTATTGCACAAGCTCACCTAATTTATACCATTGGTGATAGTTCACGCAACAGCAGTACATCTTTCATTGGCTACATACACCTGTCCACGCGCCTGTCTATACATTGCTATTGGCTAAGCTAAATTTTACACACATATCTCTGCAGCAGTAGGGTGCATGCCTTGCGATAAGCGGTACATTCCTTGTGGCCAGCAAGCTCCTGTTTCACCATTCTGTTTACATTTCTTCAACTCCAGGCCTCCTCGGCTCAGAGAGAGTTCAAGGCTGTCTCTCTCGACTCCAAAGCTCTCAAACTCCGAGGGTTGACCCCAAGTCCAATTCCTGGTCCATGATTGCTGCACTGAGGACAACTTCAAACAATTCCGGTGGCTTCAGTCCATGTTAGTCGATACTGTCGCCGTAGACCTCGTGCATTTTGATGGAATGGAGCATGTGCCATCCCTGCAGCATCAAATTGACTGATGATAGGAAGAACATGGCTTACGAGTTTATCAGCTTTTACGTTACCTTCAGCTAACCCATCTTGACTTTTGTGGCTCCGAATATGAATGATGTAATTTTCTGCTGAACGCTGGTGGATAGCTTGTTAAGGTTGTTGAAAAAGAGTCATAAGATGCTCATTCCACATTTCTCTAATCAATGCATCTTTGATTCGTTGTACTACGCCCACCACATATAATAAATCAGTGACCACATTAAGCGGGACATGTAACCAATACAATATTGCCCAAACATTGCTGTTAACTCTAAAGTTTGTAACAAATCTCCTGACCTTGCAAAAGTTTGTGATGTTTCCATTGATTGTCCTGGCACCATGTGACCACTGCACTAGCCGATTTTTTCCTTGCATCTGTATACACAGTTAGCCCTCCCTGAATGGGTCTCACAGATAACTTTGGTCGTGTTATCCATGCACTGGACAATAGCAATGAGGCTTCTTTTCCGTTAGGTAAATCCACCGAGACTTTCCCTTCATATTGCAGCAAGGCCATCTGCAGGCTAACAGAATGCCCCATTACCCACTCTAAATCCTCCACAGCTATAGGAATGTGAATGCTAGCTGGCTCTTCTCCTGAAATGGCAAGTATGCGTGTTCTTCCTTTCCTAATGATTTGTCCAACCACTTCCATGCGTGTTTGAATGCTCTTGCGAGCTTGCAATGGCAAAAATAACCAGTCCAAAACAGCCAAGATGTCTCCTCCGTTTTTCTTTTGCCATTGCAAGATCACAGCAAACACTGACTGTACATGAGAGACGACCGTTGTTCTTCAGAAACGACTACTGGTTTGTCAGCTTGTGCACCCTTTAGCAAAGGACGTAAAGGCATTAGCTGTTCGTTATGATTTAGGCAACTGTGCACACACCCAACAGTCACTATGATTAAAACCATTAGTAACATTCTGCACTAATTTTAGGTATAAGTTCTGGTCCCAAGCTTGTGTGCCAGTTATCATATGAGCCCAAATTATGATCGATGCAATTACATATGCAAGGGTACTGAAGGTTTGATCCACCATGTATTCTCTGGCTCTAGTGCTTTCTTTATTCTTGAATAATGTATCCAAGCAGGTTGTTCCTTTATCTTCACTGCTGTAAAGGTGGTCAATAATATCTGGTACGGTCCGCTCCACTTCTCCTGTAGAGGATCTCCTGAAAAATTCTTCACATAAACCTAGACTCCAGATCTGAAAGGGTGAATCAGATAATCCAAACCTCTTGCTCTTGTCCCTACTATTTTCTTATTTATCTCCTCCAATAGTTTTCCCAGATTGATCAGAAACTATCAGAGATCGTCTTCCCCCACTTCCTGAAGGCTTTCTCCTTTAAACTGGGACTGATACGGTCTTCCATACAAAATCTCAAATGGGCTAACCTCTTCTTTCGACCGAGGTTTAGTTCAAATTTTTAATAGAGCCAGTGGTAAACCTTGGTACCAATATAAATTCATTTCCTGACATATTTTACTAATTTGTTGTTTAATCAGATGGGTCATCTTTTCTACTTGCCCACTGGCCTGAGGCCTATATGGAACATGTAGTTGCCAATCAATTTCTAATTTTTTGCTAATTTCTTGTAACAATTTTGCACTAAAGTGCAAGCCTCAGTCAGAAGAAATTGTCTCTGGTACCCCAAAATGAGCTTATTATCATTAAATAATATTTTAATCACTTGATTTGCGTTATTTATCCTACAAGGGAATGCTTCTGGCCAGCCTGAAAAAGTATCCGTTAACACCAACAAATATAAACAGCCCACTTTTTCTTGGTAATTCAGAAAAATCTATTTGCCACTGCTGTCCCTGATAACTTACTCTACCAGTTGTCCCAATTTGATTTCTATTTTCAATTTTAGGATTATTCTTAAGACATAGCTGACATTGTTTTGTCACTAATTGAACTGTGGTGTATAGATTCCTTCCTACAATTTGTTTGTCTATTTATGCAAAGAGTTGCTACCCCAATGAATTTTATTATGTTCTTCCTGAGCTAACATCCAGAGCTGGTTATAGGGGATTACAATTCGCCCATCAGGTATTTGAGCCCAACCCTCTTTATTTTCCTGTCCCTTTAGACCCTCAATCAGTTTTCTATCCTCTTTTGAATACCTAGGTTTAGATTTTTCAATTGTTAGTTTGCCATCAGAGATTAAGGACATGATTTGAAATTGTTCAGGTGCTCGTTTGGCTTCAAAATTGGCCAAACTATTTCCAATTTCCTGATCAGAGCCACCGTCCTCATGTCCTTTACAGTACATAATAGCTACTTCTTCAGGTAGCTGAACAGCTTCCAGTAATTGTAGAATTTCTGTAGCATGGTTAATCTGTTTCCCCTGTGTGTTCAAAGGTCCACATTCTTTCCAGGTAGCACCGTGTGCATGGACCACACCAAGTGCGTATTTAGAATCAGTCCAAATATTTATCCTTTTATCTTTAGCTAGTTCCAGGGCTCTTATTAATGCTATTATTTCTGCCTTCTGGGCAGAGGTGTTCACAGGTAAAGGTTTAGCTTCTTTTAGCTGTGAAGTGGTGGTAACGGCATATCCTGTCTTTCATTTACCATT